TCATTCTTTATGATGAGTAGAGAGTGAGATCAGAAGTATTAAAATATACAGAAGTATCTAAGTGTTCTTTCAGTGCTTTTGTATTCAATTCTGTAGATGTTGAAATCACATGAGTTAATCATTGAATCTCTTCATATTGAAGTTATTGAGTTGCATGCATATCAGCTATTTATTATTATTATAATTTCAACATTACTCAGAGTCACTGTGATATTACATCTATACTCATGTTCAAGAGTTTCATATTATCATTAGACATGATTATATTGATCATTGAATGTGTGATATCTGTGAAATCTGAAGAAGTGTAATCATATTCTCATATATCTGAGTGTCAGAACTCTCAGATCTTTTACTGACATTCTCTTATAAGATCTTATTATAGAGTCAGAATGACTGATAAGTAAGCTTCTATCTGAGAACTCAGTATTCACTTAACTATTTAACTGTTGATGATTACTACACCTACTCTAGTCACGTGCCACCTCAACCTATTCATTTAGTGTAACTCGCGTAGTTAGATTACAACATAATAACATTATTCTTTAAGAGGTTATGAAGCTCTCTACACAATGAAAAGCTGTAAAATAATATGCAATTAACATCTTCATGCATTGTTACAAGTGTGTCTAGATAATTTATTGAGTGATTGAACTCATGATTAATCTAAGATCTGAGAGAATGCCTGACTTAATGAAAGAATATATGTCTTCAAGACAGAGAAATGAGAAGACACTAGAACAGCAGATGCAAGATCACAGATCATTGTTAACATTAATAATAAACTGAAAAGTGACTGTCTCTGAGGTATTTGAGCTGAATGACATGATTGTGAAAGAACAGTCTGATAAGTTCAACAATGAATATAAAGACCTGATTGAAGATATCAGTGAGATGTTAGATAATACAGAAGACTTAAGTGACTGAAACAACAATAACTCTGTAAGTGAGAAGACTTATATAAGACTAGAAATTGCAAGACTTCAGCATGAAGTTGAGTGAATGAAGACAGACAGAGATGAAAATGAAGAGTTTAGTGTAGATTTGATAAACTATCTTTAATAAAAGAGTAGAATATCTGCATTGATGAAGATTCTTAATGAATTCAGAGATTAAGTAAGGTCTATAAAGAAGCCTGTTATACTCACTGACTCTGCAAATTATTCTATGTGAAAAGAAGAGATTCTACTCATAGTAAGACAATCTGAAACAGATGACATTCTTAATAATAAGCAGGTTAATTCTGATAAGAATGTCAGCATGAATATGTAATGTTTTTAATTAGAACAGAATATCTGATTGTACAATTACATATGATCTGCAATTGTCTCACAGGTCAAATCTCACTTTATTATACTCAAGAAATCTCAACTATCTGCTTATTCTTTATAATCTGTTATAGAGGATAATTTCACTGAGAGGCCTGCTGTTCACAGAACTTGTCTGTTTTAACAATTGATTAAGATAATATTAAAATCAAAGAGTTCTAATTATGCATTTATTAAATGTTTAATTGCAATCAGAACTGATTATATCTGATTGAGATATAATATTAAAGATTTCATGTTTTTTAACAGACTTCTTACAGAGGTTAGTAAAGATTGATTATCTTTTATAAAGAATTGAATAAATGTAATAGAGAAGAATGAGAATGCTAGAACACTTGAAGATGATTTTATAGAATTATGTTGAGATATTCTTCTACAATTGTCAACTACTGATGAATCTCTCATCTCTGATGAAAAGACCCCTGCAAATAATACTCAAGATTTCAACAGAAAGAATAAAAAGAATAAGAAGAAGAAGAAGATCTCTGAGAATAAGAACAAAGATTCTATCAAGCTGAATAGAAAGGGTAATAATACTATTAAAATATATTATTATTGTCAGAAGATTGATCACATTCAAACAGATTGCTGATTGAAATTTCCTGAAAAACACTCTACTAGCCGCGGTAAGAATAAGAATAAGAATGAAACAGGCTCAGCATCAGTTTATAATATTATTGAGTAAGTATTTCATACAACAGAAACAGTCTATTCTACTGATTAAACTGGCAAAGATACCTGGGTTCTGAACTCTGAATTCAGTACTCATGCTACATCTTGTAAGAATCTCATATCAATAGTGTTGCAGAAGATTAATATTATACTGAAGATAACTGACAGATTGACAGCTTCTGCAACAGCTATAGAGAAGATGAATATATCAGTTGAAGAAGTGAATCTGCTGCTGCAGAACATCTACTATGTTCTTAAGCTGAAGATTAATCTTATAAGTTTTGAGAAGCTTGTATGTCAGAGCTATACATATAAGTAACTGATCTATGAAAATACTTATTTAATCTTGCTAATCTCTTCTGACAAGATATTGAGTTTTACTGCTAAATTGAGTGATAAGAATATCTATATTCTGAAAAAATAATTAATAACTAGAGACTTGATTTGATTTGTAATATTAAATAATGAATTTGAATCTGTGAAAATTCTACAGTCTGCAGAGAAAAAAGATTCTCTGCTAGCATTATTTAATAAGAATATCAAGATTATTGAACACACAATGTTACAATAATATTAAAAGCTTGATCATTTCAATTCTGCAGATATTACTAAATTAGCAGCAGATTCATAACTGAGAATGAGAATTAAGAGTGACAGAGCTTTGCTGTTCTGCAAGATCTGTGTACAGATAAAAATGACATGTTTAATATTTATATTAATAATAAGAACTATTAAATCTGTGATGAGATTCTTCATAAATCTTGTAGATGATAACTGTATACTATATAATGAAATCAATCTCTCTACTTATGAGAGAGCTAATTATTGAATAAGTATTACAGATAATGTCACATGCTACAGATGAATTATTCTTATGATATCAAAGAGTGAGATTACTGTGTGAATAATAATCTTTATTAATGAAATTGAGATCACTACTCAATATCAAATTGAGACTTTACACTGAGATGATGAAGATGAATTTAAAAGTGATGAATTAAGAACCTACTGTCAGTGAAAAGAGATTACATATGAGATCACTATATCTGATACATCACAGTTTAACAGCTCTGCAGAACATGTCAATTGTATTGTAGATGAAAAGATAAGAAGCTTACTATTTAATAGCAGGCTTACAAGAGAACTTTGAGATGAAGCTATTCAAGTGGCAGTTATAATAATCAACACATTCTTAATATCAATAAAGATTTATAAGTGTCAGAGAGACATTTTATTATTCTCTTTTAAAGCTGGAACAGATGTTCAACCTTCTACTCATTGAATACACAGATGAGAATGTAAGATGTATAAGAAGAATCTGAAAATTATTAATAAGCTTATGAATAGAACTGATAATAAGTAATAATAATTAGTGGAATATCAAGAACTGTATTAATATCATATCTGAGACTCTGCAATCTAAAAGCTTGAGATTGTAAGAGATATTATTTTTAATGAAGAATTGATAATAGAAGAAGTACTGATGAATGTTATTAAAGAAGCAGTTAAACTATCAGAGAAATTGAATATTCTTAATAGTATGAAGAGATAACAATACTGTCTTCTAAGAAGACTTATAAAGAATAAACCTGATATTTTAAAGATGCTTACTGATGATGATATAAATGATGTACTGAAACTGATATATTTACTAGATAATGAGACAGAACTTGTTGATAATGATATGAATAACTCTGTAAATAATGAAGATTCTGTACTCAGTGTTCTTAATGACTGTCTGACCACACTGATAGAGACTAAAAGAAGTCATGACTGAGAACATTGACACCAGGCAATGAGGAAGAAAGTGGAAACTTTTGAATGAAAGAAGATATATATTGTTGTTAAAAAGGCCTCAGAAATGAATATTCTTACAGATAAATGAGTATATAATCAGAAGTTAAATAATAAGAATGAAATCATCTGCTTTAGAGCTTATTAAGTGATTAGAGAATTTCTACAATAATAAGATATTCATTATAATAAGTCATATGCAGCAGTGATGTCTGAATCTATATTACAGAGCTTATTCACTATATTAATAGCAAGAAATTGAAAAGTCAGATCAATTGACTATATATCTGTATTTTTGAATAAGATATTGTCTCAGAATGAGATAATATTTATACAACTACTCACAGAGATTAAGTACAGTTATGATGAATTAGTAGAGCTTGTATATCAGAGCTTATACAGAATGAAACAGATAGCAAGAACATGATATTTTCTTATAACAGAACACTTAATGAATCTAGAATTCAAGATCTTATTTTATAACAGTGAATTTCTTTATCATTCAATTTGTAAGTTATTCTTGACACTACATATCAATAACTGTTGAATCACAGAACCTGAAGAGAGTGAAATTGAGTAGATTTTTGTGGTTCGGAAGAACGTACGACCGTCGGATAATAACGCGGCCGCTTCCGAACTACTAGCGTACGAATGTAAAGGGGGCCCTAGCGGCCACTAATTAATTTAGCGTACGAGATTCAATATATAAGAAGCCGGCGTACGCCTGTAATCATACACTGGCTTAAGCAATCTTTGAATCACATCTGATAGCATGTCTAAAAACTGGTGAGAAGTGCAGGCTTCTTCAGAATGTGATAATTCTGTCTATGAAGTGATTTATAATTATCATGTCAGTGTGGTTCTAGAACATCTCAAAAGATAGTGTATGAAGAGTGATAAGCAGAAGAGCATCTGATTGATACTGCTTCACTTGTTGAGAAAAAACTTCACACTTAGATGAATACCACATATACGAATAGATGAGATGTGAGAAAAAGAGATGAGAGTGATGAACCAGATTCAAAGAAGACTGCTCTTCACTCAAAGAAATAAAAGAAGAGAGTGATCATCACTGAAGTCATACAATGATAACAGAAATCATATAATGATAGACATTGTATGATTAATCAGAAATCAATCACTGAAATGAATACCTTTCCTAGCTGATACAAACAACACTCTTCTCTGCTATCTGAACTGAAAGATATGCAGAATCTCTCAGAGAGTTTACTTAAAGCAGTAAGAAAAGCAGCTGAGACTGCTGAACTGGAATTGAAGCTCTGTATGTATATGAGGATTCTAAATGAGATTGAGGCCTTGTGTACACAGTGGCAGGCTGAGGTGAAAGTCAAACAACAATTGACATTTGCTGTGAATCAAGTATTCACTATGAAGAGCTTTGCCAACGCAATCACCATCATTAATAAGAATAGAGAAAACCAGATCTTAGGCCTGCAGTGAGAGATCAAATGTTTACATAGACAGATAACTACACTGAATCTGAAGATCTTATCATGATTGTTCACAATCTCTTCAGAAGTATACACATCATCAGAGACTGCTGTGCAGAATGAGAATCTGAGTATGAAATATATCAAGTCAGAAGATCTGCTGAAGCTATTAAGCTTTAATAATGACTGAAAAAATGATGCTACAATCAGCTGACTAAGTCAGATATGATCATATTATCAGATTAAATATGAACTCACAGATAGACAGTTAATAGAATTTTAACAAGTCTTAAGATCTGCTGTGTTTCTATGTGAAAAAATGAAGTTATTATGAATAACTGATGAAAAGATGAATCTTACAGACTCAGAGTGATATTCATTCTTATAAATATGAAATGAGTTTTTCAAATGAATCTTGCACAACTTTGAGAAAGTGAATATATAAGATAAGTGTTATAAATGCTTCACTGAGTGTAGACAAGTGAGTAATCTTACATTATACTTCACACACTTCAGCTTATACTATCTTATATTGAATGAAGAGCTTTTAACATCTTTCTGTTTACAGATCTTCATTCATGATCTTACATCTGAGTTGAGAGTGGAATGAAAATGCTTAATCTCATAATCAGATATGATGAAAGAAGCATATAACATTCTCATTGTATGAGAACAAGTGAGCTAATTATAACAGAAAATACTGCAATTAAGTATATCTCAGTGAAGAATGAGTAATCAGACTTCTACAACACAAGTTATACATCTGAATGTAATGAATCTAGATCTGAATGTCATCACTAAAGCACTGAATTCTCTGAAAAAGGAATTCTCTGAGTAGAAATCTTGATATTACAAGTATTGAGCTTGCTTCAACTGCAGATGTTAAAATCATAGTGTAAAAGATTGCACTCAGCATACACAGTCAAGAGAAGTAAGAGAGTTAAAAAACTAGCAGAATCAGTGAGCTCAGAGACACTTGCTGATATTCTATAAAAAGTCTTCAAAGTGAAAGAGATGTCTGTGTTAGATGATTCTCTGAATTCTGTGAACATCAAGAGAAAGCAGGCTTCTGACTGAAGTGTGAGTGAGAATGAAGTGAACACTTATCTCAATGCCTTGAGATCTGAAATGTTAATGTATAGAGGGCACTTAAATAAGAATTGAGAGATGGCTGTAAAAGTGTTAGCAGACACAGAAGCTTCAATACAATATATTAATAATTATATAATTCAAAGATTGAAAGAGGTTCACTGAGTGAAGAATTCCTGACACATAAGATTATCTGATAATCAATATTTAATATCATCTGTAAAAGTAAGAGTTCTCTTGCACTTTGAAGAATAGTCTTACTATATTTGAGTGTGAGAACTACAGAATGTGAAATACAATCTTATTCTCAGACTTGATTGATTTCAAAGATTCAATCTGCAGATTCAATGATGTACATGTCATATGTGATTAACTGATAGAAAGAAAATGATTCATACAATTCTACTAACTGATATGAGAAGAACATTTCACATCTCTAATATAGAAGAATTAAATCTGCTTACACATTAACAAGCAAAGAGAATGATTTGCAAGACCTCATCTGAAAGCATTCTGTATATCATACAGGATCTGAAAGCAGAGAAAATCAAGATAAAAGATATATGAGAGGATAAGTGTATGAAGAAGCTTCTGAAGAAGCATGAGAAGGTCTTTTGAACAGATCTTTCATCAGAATTGCTGCCAGAACAAGGATTCATACATGAGATTGACACAGAGAATGCAAAACCAGTCAATCAGAATATGTACTCTCTGTCACAAACACATCTCAAAGAACAGAAGTATCAGATCACAGACCTTCTAGAATATGATCTCATATGACTCTCATTAAGCATGTGAGGCTTTTCAGTTCTATTTGTGAAAAAGGCAGGTGAAGAGTGACAGATGTGTATCAATTATCAAGCACTTAACAAGCTTACAATCAAGAATAAATATTCACTGTCATAGATTCAACAACAGTTGAATATGATTGAAAACATCTGATATCTATTAAAGATTGATCTTCTCTCAGAATACTGACAGATCTGTGTAGATGAACTGTCAGTTCTGTGAACCATATTTAATATATAATGAGAGAAGTTTGAATTTCTAGCAATATCATTCAGTCTGACAAATGCATCTGTCATCTTTCAAATGATGATGAATACAATTCTTCATAAACAGAATGAAATCTCATGTCTTGTATACCTTGATAACATTCTAGTCTTTTTAAACTCATATGATGAACATCTGAAGCATCTCAATGAAGTGCTTATAACTCTGACAGAGTATAAGCTCTACATCAAATCAATCAAGTGTGTGTTTGAAATGAAAGAGTTGAAGTTCATGAGACATGTAGTGAGTAATGACTGTATACACCTCATCTCAGAGAAATTGAATGTTATAGTGAATTGATCACAGCTGAGAAATGTACACTATATATAATAGTTTCTTCAGTTGATCTCATACTACTGCAGGTTCATCAAGGATTTCACATGAATATCTGTATCACTCTCAGATCTCTTAAGAGAAACAGATGCAAATCTGTGAAAGAAGAAGTTTCATTCAATCATCTGAAATGCCGCATGTGAAGAGGCTTTTCTCATACTGAGAAAATGTGTAACAACATTCTCAGTGCTTATTCAACCAGATTATAATAAACCTTTCTACATTGAGACAGACACATCTGAATGAGCTATCAGAGACACTCTTCTACAGATGAGCAAGAATGACAAGCTGCACCTGGTGATATATAATAGTAGAAAACTATCAGATGCTGAGCTCAATTACTCAGTGCATGAAAAGGAATTGCTAGTGATCAAGCACACACTAGTGTTGTGAAATAGATATATTAACAATGAGTATACAACAATGATGATCATGGATCATAAAAGTCTCATCTATCTACAATTAACAATAAAACCTTTCAAATGCTTAGCATATTGAATCTCAGAGTTTCAAGTGTACAATCTTCATATCAAATACTGAAAGAGATTGAATACAGTGATGTCTGATATAATCAGTTACAGACTCAATTTCATGAGTGAGAGTTCTGTGAACCAGGCACAAGAGACATTTGTATTAAATGCACTGAGAAAATGCAAGGAATTAGAATGAGTGAACATCATGATCTCTTACTTGAAGAATGACAAGATGTCAGATAACAAGTATCTCATGAGAGTAGTAGAAGAGATGCTTCTGAACTTCAAGCTGAGAAAATTAGAAAAGGAAAATGACATTGTGCTTTACTGTGATCTAGAATACATAGAAGCTTCTTATCTAGAATCTTCATTTCAACATGACTTAATAACTCATATACACAAGGAATTCAGTCACTTAGAAAGCCCTGAACTCATGAGTGTACTTGAATCAAGAGCATACTGACCAAGCATGACTGAGAACATTCAGATATACACTCATGAGTGCCTGAATTGTCAGATCATGAAAGAATCTAAAAAAGGGTTAGAATGTGAGAAAGTATAACATCAGATGAAGTGTACAATACAATCATTCAAACAATGGAGAATGAATCTCATAGACATATTACTGTGAACATCAAATGAAAATTGATGAATAATTACTGTTATTGATTACACTACTGACTGATCAGTTGTGAAAGCAGTTTCAGAGGCAATAGAGAAGATGATGATAAAGTTTCTACATAATGAGATCTATGTCAACTATGAAATACTGCATGAGATTCTAACTGATAACAATGCAAACTTCATAGAAGAAGCAGTGAGGTATTTCATGAGTCAATTACAGACAAGACATTATAGAATAATATCATATCATTTGCAGATGAACAGAAAGATGAAATACTTGAATGAAATCTTGAGCAACATGCTGACAAAATATCTAGTGAGCAAGTCTATGAGACTATGAGATGAATATCTCGGGCAGGCGCTATTGACTATATGAATTTGACAGCATGCAGTCTTCAAGCATTCATCATTCTACCTGTTGTATGAATTGCATCCGCGCATCCTGGAGAATGCTTCAGAAAAGATGAGAAAGAGAGCAGTTACAGATACAGTAGAAACAGCAGTTATAAATGCAGCAGGAACAGCAGTTACAGATGCAGCAGTAGCAGTTGCAGATGCAACAGTCACAGACACAGAATCAAGATTGAAAGAGATCAGCCACACATGTATAAAAGCTAATAAGTTACTCCTGAACTGAGCAATTCAATTGAAAAGAATATAAGACTCACTTGTTAAGAAATTGAGTCTCAAGATAAGAATGTAAGTTCTTATATACAATAAGAGTTCTGAGAAGTTTCAACCTAGATAATTTAAGCTATATAAAATACTCAAATCACATTCTCTGAGAATGTACACATTGAAAGAATTAGAGAGATAAGTCTTATACAACTTAATCAATAATTCATAACTTATGAAAGCAAAGATGCAAGACCTGAGTAGATTATAATTATTCACAGCACTATCATCAGCATTGAAAAAGAAGAGACTTATAATTGAAAAGTCTTATGAAGTAAGTGAAATCATAGATGCTTATAAATCAGATGATCTCACTTATTCTGATCTTTTCACAATTATAAGAAAAGAATGAGAAGAAATGAAGAAATCAGATGAATATCACACTTTAATAAGTGATGAGACTGTAGCTGATTGTATGATAATACACTGCAGACAGTGAGTGTAACATAGTAAAGAGTGATCTCAAAGTAACAGACTTACATATGAGTCAGATTGCAGAAGAAAAAGAAATTCAGAGTTGAATTTAACTGTTTACACTAGTTCAATTACAGAGATTACAGAGAACAAACTATCTGAAACATCTGTAAATATATGAGATCAAGTTATCTTGACTTCTGAGAACACTCAGAGATCAGGTGAGATTAGTTTTGATAAGTTATTCACTATAGTGATCTGAGCAGGTGAAGAGAGACAGTATAATGCATCAGACAGAATCATAAAAAGTTGAAAGCTGCTGAACCTAGTCATCAAACACTGTATTATA